TTGAAAATGTAAAAATTATTCTTCACTCGCAATCCATACAAAAACAGGTATTGAGTCAAATACCTTCCTCACTCCTGATCTATATAGTGAGTGTGGTTGTCAGATAGGCAAGTCAGGAGTTCAGGGGATGGGGAGGTTGAAGAAATAAAGCTGAGGGTCATCAGAATACAGATGATATCCAGCCCCAGCTCATCTAGGGAGTGAGTAGATACTAAAGAAAAGAGATCTGAGGACTTAGCCTTACACACTCCAGTACTGAGAGGCTGGGGAGAGGAGGAGGATCCAGCAAATGAACTTAGGAGGAATGGCAGCCAGTAAGGGGAGAAGAAGTTCAGAACCCAAATCCAAGGTATTTGAAGAAAGAGGAAGTGCACAATTAGGTAAAAAGTGATGGGGAGCTTATAACCTAAGAAGTTAGACAGACATGATATGCCCTCAGTGTGGTGATGTACAGTAGGAAAAACCTAGCACACCTAGGAAGTGCTCTTGCCAAAAAATCAAACCTGAATCTGATCACATTTCTAGAAATTAACTCCCAGTTTATAAAAAACACAGGAGATAAAGGAACATGTTCAATGACACCTCACGGATCCAATCAGCAAAATCCAAAATGAGAGAGCTACTCCATTAAAATTATTTCTTTAATAAATAAATGGCAAGAAAAAAGGGGGTCATGAAGACTGTTACAGAATAAAGAATCTTTTTTTTTTTTTTTTTTTTTTTTGAGACGGAGTCTCGCTCTGTCGCCCAGGCTGGAGTGCAGTGGCGCGATCTCGGCTCACTGCAAGCTCCGCCTCCCGGGTTCACGCCATTCTCCTGGCTCAGCCTCCCGAGTAGCTGGGACTACAGGCGCCCGCCACCTCGCCCGGCTAGTTTTTTTGTATTTTTAGTGGAGACGGGGTTTCATTGTGTTAGCCAGGATGGTCTCGATCTCCTGACCTCGTGATCCGCCCGCCTCGGCCTCCCAAAGTGCTGGGATTACAGGCTTGAGCCACCGCGCCCGGCCAGAATCTTAAAAAACATCCAAATGCACGTACAAGGTATGGACTTTGGTTTCTTCATCACACTATAAAGAAAAAGTTAGTTATTCTGGGAAATTTGAACACTGACGTGTCTTTAATAATATTAAGAACTTTTTTAGGAGTGATTTTTTTCTTAGGTATCATGGTTATACTTTTCAGAGTCCTTCCCTCTTCAAAACATATACTAACGTGTTTGCTGATGAATTAATATAATGCCTGGGATTTTCTTTACAATAATTCATAGAGATGGAAAAAAGAAAGCATATAGATGAAAATAAGGTGGGCTGTGTATTGATTAACTGTTGAAGCTGAATGATCAGTGTATGGGGATTCATTTTACTAGTTTCACAGAAAAGAATTATGAGGAACGTGAACACTTACCTGTGATGTTCAGCACAGTTTTGTTGTTTTTATTGGCATTGTGGAAAGAAAACCCTGTTAAATAACCTGTCACATAAGAATATGCCTGAGAGCTTAATCTGACATTTTATTTACTGAGAGAGTTGTGTCTTTTTTAAAATAACTTTCTAATTACAAAATAATATATTTTCATTGTGTGAAAATCAGAAAACATAGGTAAATAAAATGGAACCAGGCACAATGGTGTGCACCTATATTCCCAGCTACTCAGGAGGCTGAGGCAGAAGGATCACTTGAGCCTAGGAGTTTGAGACCAGCCTGGGCAACATAGCAAGACCTCATCTTCATCTAAAAGTAGAAAAGGAAGTAAGATCATCCATAATCCTTCACACCAGAGGGGAAAATAATTCTTTTTTTAGGATTAATATATTTTTGTATTAAAAATTATTCATACAGGCTGGGTGCAATGGCTCACTCTTATAATCCCAGCACTTCAGGAGGCCAAGCAGATCAACTGAAGTCAGGAGTTTGAGACCAGCCTGGCCAACATGGTGAAACTCCGTCTCTCCTAAAAATACAAAATTAGCCGGGTCTGTTGCTGCATACCTGTAGTCCCAGCTACTTGGGAGGCTGAGGCAGGAGAATCACTTGAACCTGGGAGGTGGAGGTTGCAGTGAGCCAAGATGATGCCATTGCACTCTAGCCTGGGTGACAAGAGCAAAAAATTCCGTCTCAAAAAAAAAATATATATATATACACACACACACACACACACACACACATAAAAATATATATATATTTATTTAATTGTTGTTATTAGTGTTTCTTACAGCTACTTCAGTTCTGAACTCCTGAGATCAAGCCACCAAGCTCATTAAGCCCAGGGCTTATGGTGCTGTCATTTGTCTGTTGTAGGAGGTCATTCCCCCAGGAGAGAAGATTACATTAGAGGCTCTCTCCTTGGCCAAGGTTGGGAAAGCCTGTCCTTGCTTCTCTGGCACTGTCGATGAAATCCACATGTCTGTGCATCTTAATGGACACATCCAAGTAAAACTTGTAATTAGAGAGCTCAGGGTTTTTTTTATTGGTTTGTGGTAGTTAGAAGATGGGTGGGAAAGGTTAAGAAAGGGCCGTTGAAGGAGGCAGTGGCTCTACCAATTCCAAAGAAGGAAGTTTCCAGAGGGACCATATTCCCTCCATCTTCCTTGTCTGTCCTATACTTAGTCTTCCTTCAAGTAGGACTTATTTAAACTCAGAGCCTGGACTGGGAGAACAAATTAAGTTACGTTCATGCAATGGCATGCAATGCAACTGTAAAAAGAAATGAAGAATATTTATATACTGCTATGGAGTGGCTACTAGGAAGTATTGTTGAATGCAAAAAAAAAAGTGGAGAAAGGTATATATAGTAAATTACCATTTATCTAGAAGTTGGGGTGATTAAAAATATATGTACTTGCTTATTTTAAACAAACATTGGTTAAACTTTTTTTAAAAAAGAAACTACTTACAGGAAGAGGAGACAAGGAGAGAATCTAGATGTCTCTGAATATACCTAGTTTTGTAGATCTGATGTTAGAACTATGTAATTATTTTAATAACTATAAAACAATATCGCTTTTTAAAAAGTAATTCCTAAAACTCAAAAGTAAAATGCAACAGGCCAGGCATGGTGTCTCACACCCGTAATCCCAGCAATTTGGAAGGCCAAGGAGGGTGGATCACTTGAGGCCAGGAGTTCGAGACCAGCCTGGCCAACATGGCGAAACTCTGTCTTTACAAAAAATACAAAAATTAGCCAGGCAAGGTGGCATGCGCTTGTAATCCCAACTACTTGGGAGGCTGAGGCACAAGAATCGCTTGAATCTGGAAGACGGAGGTTGTAGTGAGCCAAGATCACACCACTGCACTCCAGCCTAGGTGACGGAGCGAGACTCCATCTCAGAAAAAAAAAAGAAGATATCACCATTTGCAACCCCTAATGAAATAATGGATCTAAGCCATTTTCATTGATAATGCTAAAAGCACAAAAAAAGAGACAACCAGACACTGTGCCTCCTATTATAAGTCCACACTAATCCCTATATATTTTTTTAAAAATTCAAACCTGATCTGATCAAGCCTCTACATTCAATTAACAATTTATAGAAATACAAAGGACCAAGAAAGATGTTCATTGAATTATGAGGGTACAATCGACAAACTCAAGACTGTGGAAATTCTTCAGGATAGAGAAATTGCAATAAAAACTTTTAATAATTAGGAGGAAAAATAGAAAGGGAAGGCAGAACCAATAGACAGAAAGAGACTTAAGATTGCACTGTACGGAATTTATTGGGATCCTGACTCATACAAATGAGGAAAGGGTGGTGGATGGAGGAAGAAGGAGGGAGGAAGAGGAGGAGGAGGAAGAGAAAGAGGATGAGAATGAGAATGGATATGGAGGCAATGTGAACCATGACTAGATAGTTCATGATATTAAGAAATTATTTTTTTGGCCAGGCATAGTGGCTCACGCCGGTAATCCCAGCACTGTGGGAGGTCGAGGCAGGTGGATCACCTGAGGTCAGGAGTTCAAGACCAGCCTGGGCAACATGGTGAAACCGTGTCTCTACAAAAAAAAAAAACAAAAATTAGCCAGGTGTGGTGGTGCACACCTGTAATCCCAGGTACTCAGGAAACTGAGGCAGGAGAATCACTTGAACCTGAGAGGTGGAGGTTGTAGTGAGCCGAGATCATGCCACTGCAATCCAGCCTGGGCGACAGAGCAAGACTGCCTCAAAAAAAAAAAAGAGAGAGAAAAAAGAAAAAAAAAAGAAAAGAAAAATAAATTATTTTTAATTTGTACAGGTATAATAATTCAACTGTAGTTAGGGCTTTTTCTAAGAATTTTTACTTTTTGTGATACACACTGAAATATGGGAATTAAATGACACATCTGCAGTTTGCTTGGTGGGGAACAAGTGGAAGACTGTACAGATGAAATAAGAGTCGATTATTGTTGAAGCTGGGAGATAGATGCATGAGTTTCAATATACTATTCTCTCTACTTTTACTTATATTTGAAATTTTTATAATGAAAACATTTTTTTTTTTTTCTGAAACGGAGTCTGGCTCTGTCGCCCAGGTTGGAGTGCAGTGGCCGGATCTCAGCCCACTGCAAGCTCCGCCTCCCGGGTTTACGCCATTCTCCTGCCTCAGCCTCCCGAGTAGCTGGGACTACAGGTGCCCGCCACCTCGCTCGGCTAGTTTTTTGTATTCTTTAGTAGAGACGGTGTTTCACGGTGTTAGCCAGGGTGGTCTCGATCTCCTGACCTCGTGATCCGCCCATCTCGGCCTCCCAAAGTGCTGGGATTACAGGCTTGAGCCACCGCGCCCAGCCGAAAACATTTTTTAAAAGTAGGCCCTGGCTTACTTTTTTCACAATTGTAATTCATTCCTTTAGAGATTGCAAGTAGACTGATCAGTGTGACCATATAGGACTTACCACATCCAGCTGTTTTCAACCCCCTACCAAACCCCAATAATTTTCAAAGCCAGTCTGTTTTTTATTTAAAGGTTGTATTACCGCTGTTGGTTCCTGGAAATGCTGACAGATGCTGACTGCTTGCTTTTCAGGCTCTGGAATCTCCAGCTATGGAAATAACCCCCAAGATGTCCCCAAAGCCTTTGAGGATTGTATGCAAAAAGTCAAGGGGCAGGTTCCATTTCACCTCCACGGCTCCACCCCCATTCACCTGGGAGCCACAGCTGGGATGCGCTTGCTGAGGTAAAGGCTAAGTGGCACAAAGGGGCCCATTTGACCAAAATAACCAAGAATGTGTTGAACCTTGCCAAGAATGTAAGTCTATTTCTGGGAACAACCCTCGCCCCCCAAAAAGAAGCCATATTCTGCCATAAATTTGGGCTTTAAAGATTGGGAAACTTTTAGTCTTTATTTTAATACCCAGAAAGAAACAGTTCTAAAATTGTTTCCCTCTCACTTGGTGATTTTACTGGGAACTTTGAAAAAGAGAGAGGTAATATGAAATCCGCTCATGGGATATAACTCTACTGCTTTGGAAAAGTAGCTGTTTTGACACTTGGTATTTTGACACCTGTGGACAACCAGCTAAGTTTGGTAGTAAGTACAACCCATAGCTATGTAGCTTCTGCTTGTGTACAAAATACCACTGAAATCTGCTTTAAAACAATGGCATGTCTGCACCTCAAATCAGTCAAAGCTTTTGGAGTTGTTATGAAACAAGCATCTCATTTCACTCACTCAATTAGTTACTTCTAAATTTGTAGTCATGGCTTTTGGCCCAGTTGCATGTTTTTGAATGTCTTTTCTCTTTTTTCTCCATTATAGCATTTCCTTGACCTTGAAATTTAAAAAAAACAGTTTCCAAAAATAAACATCAAACTTAAATCTACTCAGAGTAGAGGCTACTCCAAGTGTTGGAATAAGGTTTTATCACAAGAAGACATCACTTATTCTGCTTCAAAGGCACTTTATGATTCCAAGCATGCAAAATTATCTATGTCGGAGTATTAAGAAAATAAAAAAAGAACAAACAGAGCTCCTTTAACATGATAATGAAAAGAAATCATGACGTGCTCTCCGTTAGACTGGGCCTTTTCCTTATAGTCTCATAATTCTCATTTCTAATCTGATTTCCTGGTTGACCACATTGAATGTGAAAAGAAGTCAGATTTCTTTGCTCACTCTTGGAATCTGCAGTGTATTTCTAAATTATTTCATTTACGTGTAATAGAAATGACTTAAAAACTCCTTCCTTTTGCCTTTTCTTTCTTATAAAAACAGTTCTTTCAACAAGGGTGGAACTGAAACCTTGTAATCTCAGAGAACACAGCAAGGCAGCCCCTTTACAGGCTCTTAATTCCATGGACCTAAAATCCTCATCTGCTGTAGTGGATGCTTCCTTAACACGACATGTGTGGAGCTACTTATAGAAAAGTCAGCTGCAGGATGTGCTCATGAAGTTTTCAACTTGGAGACTGAATGCTTAGGGCTTAGTTTGTGAAATCCTTCTGCTTTCACTCTATTCAATTCACATTTTCAGGCTGAATTTCCCATTTCAGAATACATTAGGATGCTGTTTACCCTCCCTGGGATTTGACTTCAGGTAACAAGTTTCAGCACAGGACCTGAGCAATACCAACAATATGAATGGGATAAGTGACTACAATCAGAGAGAAATACTGGTCCAATTCCATTAAATGTCTGTAGAAGTTACTCTAAAATATCTTTGCTTTACCAGTAGTGTTTGTACCTATGTAAACTTCTTGGTTGAACTGGCTCTGACCTTATGACTTAAGTAGACTTCTACTACTCTAAAAACAAAAACAAAACAAACAAACAAACAGCTCTTAAGAACCTGACTTTTTTTTGGTTGCTTCCCCTCCCTCCCCCAGTCTTTCAGTGAGAAATAATTAAAAGGCTCTGCAATTTACAGCTCATGACAAAAACCACGGAACAGAAAACTCACCCCTTAGGAAAAAGTGAATGTCTCCTTTGAATAAATTAAGTACTAACTTTTTCTTGTAAAACTGTTTTCTGATGATGATCTATTTCTTCTGAGGAACTAGCTGATATTTTAATTACTAGACAAGTAAAACAGAAAATAAAACAATTAATGAGAATTAGCTGGGATGAGAATTGATGAAACTGGGAAAACTCTGAATTATTTTCCAAGCAGTGATAACTGGCCACTGAATTGGAATGGATCCTGCTTATAGCCTTGCTCTTTCTTCTTCCTGATTGTCAGCCAGTGCCCCTGGCTGTCTTAACCCACGGATGAAAGAGGAAATAATCTCCCAAGCGAGCTCTTTCATAGCGTAAAATGGCAGCGATGGATGCCATAACATTCTGTCACTAGGGATAGAATGCTGTGTTGCCACTTGTCTAAGAGTTAGCACACCAGTGGTTTTTCAATCCAGTGACAGCCATGATGACTGTCATATCCCTTCATGCTAAAGCCCTCCGAAAGACTGAAGCAGAAACAGCTGAAAACTCAATGTTCTTCCTTTCCCCTTTCCTACTAAGCTCCCCTTCCTTCTTGTCAGATGAGGGTTCCTTCGTATGGTGCCTTCAAGAGATTATTTATGCCACTCTTATGCCTTCATCAATCTCCTTTCCTCTGCTGATCTGAGAGAGCAATGGCAGTTAAATAGGAGGCTCTTTTGTTACATGAACAGATGATACAAGTGGGGAGAACAAATTGTACTTTTACTGAAAGCAATTTTCCTACTTGGCAGCTTGACAGGTAACAAGTGGATCCTGCCTTCACAGTTGCCCCAGAAGACTTCAACTTGCAAAAGGGATTGTGGTGTACAGCACACATCTGGAAAATCATTCATCCCCACCAGCAGGGAGATGGGGAAGTTTGCATTTTCACCTGAGTGAGACTATATATTTTAAGACTCTATTGTCTGGGCACTCAGACTTGTTTGTTTTGTGCCTTGCATAGGTTGCAAAATGAAACAGCAGCTAATGAAGTCCTTGAAAGCATCCAAAGCTACTTCAAGTCCCAGCCCTTTGACTTTAGGGGTGCTCAAATCATTTCTGGGCAAGAGGAAGGGGTATATGGATGGATTACGGCCAACTATTTAATGGGAAATTTCCTGGAGGTGTGTGGAAACAAATGCATGGTTTTTAATCTTACTGTTTATCCTATCTCTTGTGAGTGATAGCCTAAGTAGAGGTACACACCATTAGGGATATCTGTCCTGTATCACTCCTATCATGTAATGCATTAGGGAAATACCTATGAGACAATAGCTAAGAAAGACCTATATAGCTGGGGAGAAAACATGGTCATAAATAGGACTAAATGCTTGGGAGGGAGGGAATCTCATCACTTTACTAGCTTGTAAGAAATTGAAGGGGGTGGGATCTAAATTTAACACTAGGCTATGGGTCTTTGGGAGGGCAGTTGAATAATCCTTCAGAGAGGCTCCATGACCATTTGAAATTTACAAAGCCCTCAGGAAGTCTGCATCCCTAAGTCCCCAGAGACAGGAGGAAGTCTTCACTCTGTGTTCCCAGGTCTCCTCACAGTCCAGTCCCTGCACTCCCTGCTCCCTTGGTGCAGAGGAAAGTTGATTCAAAGAGACAACTGCCATGTTACAGGGGGCACAAAACGGGAGTTACTCAGAGCATATCCAGCCCAAGACCTATTTTGTTCCCCTTCAAATGTATTTTAAATTTTTAAATAGTTACCAATAATTAACGTTTGGGAAATTTCACATAAAAATCCATACTTCTAGCTTCTTCTGACCTCCTCACTCCTCCCCAAAATCGGAGGAACTGGTCACAGTAGATGCACATTCCTGCCCGGTAATGGGAACAGAGTGTAATTCGTGGACTCTCCAGTTTGCCACAGACCCCACCACTCCCTGTTATACACCTAATCTACACTCATTTATTACCTACCTATGTTACTTGCCCAGCTCTTGTAAGCACGTGAATTCACCACCTCTGAAAGAAAAGGAGAGAATTGGCCTCACATGCTCTCTCTGTCCTACTTCTTAGTAATAGGAGACGAGGCTTGGGTGGAGAACTTTGGGCAAACAGAGATGGTGCCTTTGGCTTTCTTTCTCACTTCCTTTTCCCACTGTGCAGAAGAACCTTTGGCATATGTGGGTGCACCCGCATGGAGTGGAAACCACGGGTGCCCTGGACTTAGGTGGTGCCTCCACCCAAATATCCTTCGTGGCAGGAGAGAAGGTGGATCTGAACACCAGCGACATCATGCAGGTGTCCCTGTATGGCTACGTGTACACGCTCTACACACACAGCTTCCAGTGCTATGGCCGGAATGAGGCTGAGAAGAAGTTTCTGGCAATGCTCCTGCAGGTACTTGAGTCGGGGGTAGGGGGTGGCAGGTGTTGTCTTGAGGGTTTGAGCTGAGGGGAGAATGCCCTGCCTTCTGGAGTCTGTCCCCTCCACTTCAATTGAAAGGTAGATGAAAATAACCCCATTTTCCAATTTACTCCTGGGGGTCCAAGTCCCTTTCCCCTCTCTCTCTCTTTCTTCCCCTCCCTCTCCCTCTCATGTTGCCCACTCCCAGTGAATTTGAGTAAGAAGTCTAGGGAATTTCCAGAGCTTCACATGTTTTGTAAATGACTCAAGACCTGGAATCCCTTTATGGACACAAACTGTTTTAAACCGGGAGCTAAATAAGCCTGAGATTTTTGAGACTCCCCTGGGTGTAGACAAAATAATATTAGTGGTCACAAGAGAAATGTGTGCTGAAGGGGGAGAGGGCAGAGCCTTCCCAGGCTTAGCCTCCTTTTAGATGGGTCTATATTAGGCAGGCTTGATACCCTTTATACGGTGGAACTTTAGAGCAACCACATTCCATCATGTTGATCAGTAATTCATTTGGTAAGTGTTTCAGAGCCCAGAAGGCTAATTCAGGCATCAGCTAGAAAGTTGTTGCTGATATTAAATTCAACATTATGTAGTGTGTGTTCATGAGGGCACTAACTCCATAGGTGAGACCCCAGACCCAAACGCTACTGCTCTGGGGACATCAATCTTAGCCATGGCTAGGTGGCTGAGAGGATGGGCCTTGACTACCTAGAGGGGTATGAGGAAATCAGAAGCCACAGATTCTGGCTTCTTACGGGACTCGAAGGCAGGGGAATTAGCCTAGGAACAAAATGGACACAACATCAGAAGGTTAACCCACATTCCTCCAACCTACTCTGATAACTGAAGACAGGAGCAGACTCTATCCTGCAGAAGAGTTGAGGGGGATCACAAAAGTGCATCTTCAGCAGGACTCACAACTTCAGACCCCTGCATTTACCCAGTGTTCATGCAGGGTGGGTTGTGGGAACTCAGCTTCCACTTCTGGCCCCTCCTCCAAACCTCTCCCCAATCCTCCCTGAAACGGCTGAGGCCCTGGGACACACGCATGGGACATTTATTGTCAGGAGAGTCTGAGCACTGCCTGGAAAGAACAGATGTGAGAAGCCTGCAGACAGCCCTCAACTACCCTTCTGTACTAATCCGTGCTCACACTGCTATAAAGAAATACCTGAAACTGGATAATTTATAAAGAAAAGAGGCTTGTTTAATTGGTTCATGGTTCTGTGGGCTGTACAGGTTTCTGCTTCTAGGGAGGCCTCAGGAAACTTACAGTCATAGTAGAAGGCAAAGGGGAAGCAAGCACTTCTCACATGCGGGAACAGGAGGGAAGACGCCACACACTTTTAAACAACCAGATCTCGTGACAACTCACTCACTATCATGAGAACAGCAAGGAGGAAATCTGCCCCCATGACCTAATCACCTCCCACCAGGCCCCTCCTCCAACAGTGGGATTACGATTTTACATGAGGCAAAGCCAAACTATGTCACCTTCCATGGCTCCCACCCCAACTTCCACTTCCCTCCCCAGTCAGCCAAACCAAGCCCTACAGGTAACTCAATCAATGCTCCCTATCGGGGGTCTCAATACTCATCACTCATCCCCACTTGCTCATCAAAGTAGTTCAACCAACATGCTTCTTTCTTGCTGGGAGAGAAGCTCTAGAAAATCCTCTTTTCTCCAGCTCCTTTTACTTCTAGCAATGCTTAATGTCCTTTGCTCCAGCTCTGACTCTAGCAGGAGTAGAATGTGGAAGCTCAGGTGAAATCCTCCTTTTTCCAGGGTGAGTGGGGATCAGAGAGGCTAATCTTCTAAATTTGGCTGGCCCTGTGGAATGTGTGTTTCTGTCTGTCTGCATGTGTCTGTGTGTTTTTGTACTTATACAATGTTTACTAAAGAATGATTATCTATATATCCAGCAGTCCACAGAAGAGAAGTAAATACTTTACCTTTCTGAGGTCTGATTTAGGCTTGAGAATGCCAGTCTCCAAATGTGAGCCCAGCACTGGGGGTGGAGGAGTGAGCACCCATCCTCTCACAGTCAGCTCACAGGAACAGGGACACATGTCTTCAATTTGCCTGGTAACCTCTAGATGCCTGATAGGGTGACTCTGCCCTCGGAGGCTTCTGACTCATCCAAGAGGAGAGATTCAGATGAGATGAGGATTACTGACAAATTCATGTCAAGACCTGCCTGACCAACAGTTTCATAGGTCAAATATGTATTGCCAAGCCTTGACTTGGAAGGTTCACACAAATTATTGCATCATAAACACTGACTGAGTAAATTCCATCAGTCTGGATCTTGTTTCCTCATCTGTAATATAAGGAACTATGTAGTGTGGTGAGAATGATAGCTGGATATGTACTTTGCAAATTACTTTCATATTAATAAGTCTCCAGTCACCTTGGAGCTGAAGTCTCATTCTGACAACATGTTGGATATTAGGAATATGTATTCACTTTCTTTCCATTTTTAAGTAAGAAATTTGTCTTCTGTTTTTAATGTAATATATGTTCAGTGAAAAACATTTAGAAGATGCACACCAAAAACTATAAAGGATTTCTTTAAAAACGGAATTAACCACTATTAATCATACTATTGCATTTTCTTCCACTTTTTTAATGTATGAAAGTGTAAAAACTTGGCTTCATATGGTATATATAATTTTATATTTACCTTTTATTTTACCTAACCATATATTATGGTCAATTTCCTGTGTTGTTAATGTCCTTTTAAAATATTATTTTTATGAGAGCATAGTATTCCAAGTACCATAACTTAAAAAGAAAAAGAAATTGACCATTTGATTATGAAAGAAAGTACATTCTTATTGTAAAAATTTAAAGCCATACAAAGAGTGTTAAAGTCAAAATGAAAGATCCTCCTTCCAATCCCATTTACTGAATGCCATCACTGGTCAAAGCTTAATATGTTGTTCTTCTACACTTTCCAGGTCAGTATATTAACTTATTTTCTTTACTATTTAATATCCCATAATGTATCAATCATTCCCTTCCTCATGGACACCAGGCTGTGTCCTGTTTTGTTGCTACGACAATAATATAATAAGCCTTCTTACCCATATAACCTTATGAACCAGTGATTTTATTTCTGTAGGATAGGTTCAAAGGACAGGTGTATTTTTTTTATTTAAATGAACAAATAGGTAATCTTCCAACAAAATTAAAACCATGCAGATTACCACCCATGTTGTGATGACTTTTTGAAATAAGCTTCAGGAATTCCAAAACATTCTAATAATAAGTACTTAGATAATGAGGGTCTGTTTCTGGATTTTCTGTTCGATACATTCATTGTTCTATTTTGGGACCAATATCATGTTGTTCTACCTGCAATAGTCTATTTTTCTACTCTCAGATGTTTATCTTGAACTTCAAAGTCATTTGAAGCAGTAACAAAAAAGAAAGTTTTTTGTTGAGATTGTGATTGTAATTATGTTGATTCATACATTAATTTGGTTAAAATGTGCTTATTAGTGACATCAACAATTTCTATCCAGAATTATACAGTGTATTTCCATTTATTTAATTCTTGGCTTGTATCCTTCAATAAAATGTATAGTTTTCACCATTGGTTCTGTACCTCTGTTGTTAAATGTATTTTCTTTGTGTGTATTTTTTAAACTTTCTGTCACTAATGAGAATAGTTTCTATCACTGTTTTTTCCAGTTTTAACCAGTTTAACTCTAAAATCAGATTATGCTATAGTTTTCTAGTGGACTTTTCTCCCTCGAACCCGCTGATTAACTTTTTCATGACAGTGCCCTTCAACCACTAAGCTCGGTGAAGACTGTTGAATGCTGAATGCCTGAACTTGGCACATTGGCCCATTATATGTAAAGAATGCCACAACAAAAATTCAGACACAAAAAAAAGAAAAGAACTAATATTTACTAAGTTTTTCCTATGTACTAAGTCAGAAATAATTTATGTTATCTTGTTTCTTCTCTGGACCAAGCCAGAAATAATTTATAGTTTTAATCATTTTAAAAGTATAAATCTCCCTTCAGACTATACTAGAAAAGAAAAAAAAGTATAAATCAGATTTGGAAGTAGATACTAAATAGCCAATTGATTGATTCGATATTTTTTTCTTTCAACCAATATTTCAGCTATAGGGTGACCCAAGTATGATATGCTATAAATTATATGTAACGGCTTTTGAAAATCATAAATTGTTTTCATACCATAGAGGCAGAAAGGGGCCTGTTTGCCTCTTTCTCAGTCAAATGAAGATCTTTCTGGAAAACACTCATTTGGGTTCTATTTGATGAATGTTAAGCTTTTATAGGATTTTTGCAGAATCTTGTCACTGACCTTTGTTAAACAATTGCATTACTTGAATATGTACCTCAGTTTCCTCATTAGTAAAATGAAAGGGTTGGGCTAAATGTCTGAGTCAAGATTTTACTGTAGGGTGGCCAGGTGCAGTGGCTCACACCTGTAATCCTAGCACTTTGGAAGGCTAAGGCAGGAGAATCTCTTGTGCACAGGAGTTTGAGACCAACCTGGGTAACATAGGGAGAACATACCTCTACCAAAAAAAGAACTAATTAAAAAAAATTTTTTTTTAAATTTTTTTGAGATGGAGTCTTGCTCTGTCACCCAGGCTGGAGTGTAACGGTGCAATCTCAGTTCGCTGCAACCTCCACTTCCCGGGTTCAAGTGATTCTCCTGCCTCAGCCTCCCGAGTAGCTGGGACTACAGGTGCATGCCACCACGTCTGGCTAATTTTTGTATTTTTAGGAAAGATGGAGTTTCACCATGCTGCCCAGGCTGGTCTCAAACTCCTGATCTCAAATGATCCGCCTGCCTCAGCTTCCTAAAGTGCTGGGATTACAGGTGTGAGCCATCACACCCAGCTAAAAGAAAAGATTTTACTATAGGGGAAGCAGTATGCCTTAGTGGCTTAAGTTGAACATAGTTCAAATCCAATTCCTTCAAAAAGAGAGTTCATAAACTGAATCAACAACATTTAGGATTTTAGCATAAAATAGAGTATTTTGCACCAGTAGATTAAAGATTGAATAGTCATATGGAAAAAGTAAAGCCAAGTCTATCTGAATCTTTAAGTCAAATAAATTGCAATGGATAAAAGATTTATATGTGACGAGGTTATTTGTTTGTAATGGCAAAATGATTGGGAACCACCTCAGTGTTCATCTAGATGATATTCCTTAAATAAAGTATGATTTATTTGTACAGTGGAATACTATGCAGCTACTAAAAAAATAGGCCACTCTGTAAGTACAATGAATGGAAATATCTCAAAGATACATTTTTAAGTGAGAAAAGCAACGGGTACAATGGGGTATATAAAGTGCTACCATTTATGGCTTTAAAAAAAGAAAAGCGTGGGAGAAAAAAATATATTTGCATGTGCATGCCAGATCATTGGAAGGATACACAAAAATTGGCAATAGTGATTGTTTCCAGAGAGAGGCCTGATGGCTGCAAGTGGATGAGAAGGAGACTTCACTTACATATGTTTATTTGTACCTTTTGGATTATTTTGCTAGGTGGATAGATGACATTCTACTTAAAATGATACATTAAATATATCCATTTTCTCAACATGTGAAGTTCATAAAACCTGGTTCACAGGGCTATCATAAGAGCTGGATCAGATAATGTGAGAGAGAGCCTAGCGCTATGCCTGGTACAAGGTAATTGTCACACACACACACACACACACACACACACACACACACCCTTTCCCCCCACCCCCGCTTGAATTATCTAGACAACCTATCATCAAAGACATGCTGACATAGAATGGTATTTTTTGTTTTTCTCTTGGCATTGGAGGATAGTGATAGAGAGAATTTGCAAAAGGGAGATACTTGGCTATCCACAAAAAACGTGGTTTCTAACACCTTACTCTTATACCTACAGAATTCTCCTACCAAAAACCATCTCACCAATCCCTGTTACCCTCGGGATTATAGCATCAACTTCACCATGGGCCATGTATTTGATAGCCTGTGCACTGTGGACCAGAGGCCAGAAAGTTATAACCCCAGTGATATCATCACTTTTGAGGGAACTGGGGACCCATCTCTGTGTAAGGAGAAGGTGGCTTCCTTATTTGACTTCAAAGCTTGCCATGATCAAGAAACGTGTTCTTTTGATGGGGTTTATCAGCCAAAGATTAAAGGGCCATTTGTGGTAAGAGCAAAACCTGAAAGATTCCTTTCTTTCCCCGTTGAATATTTATTTCTCACTTTTCTGTTTCTCCTCTGCTGACCTGTTAGCCACCTTCTAATTCCTCACCCATAAACCTTTCTATTATACCCATTCTGAGAACTAATTTCCTTCTGTATTACTTATTTCCAGGCTTTTGCAGGATTCTACTACACAGCCAGTGCTTTAAATCTTTCAGGTAGCTTTTCCCTGGACACCTTCAACTCCAGCACCTGGAATTTCTGCTCACAGAATTGGAGTCAGGTCAGTATTTAAAGAGAAAGTATCAATGTCAGTACAAAAAAATATATATATGGTAGAATCTATTCTATGTGTGTATATTCTGAATTTAGCCTTTATGCTCTTCTATTTCCATCACATCTGTAAAATAAAAAGAATAAGGGAAGCTACTCCCACACCTGTGGTGTGAATTAATGTTATAACTACATGCACAATGGTTAGAACAATATTTGGCATATAATAATAAGCACTCAATGAGTTTAAAGATTAGTATATTGTGAAATTATATAGTGATATCTTCATAATTATATTGAATAATTATATGATTGTATTATAAAGTCTTTTCTATTATGAAATTATGGATGATAAGATTCTTTAAAACATGACTTTTAACCCAAGGTGTTCATTTTAAAACATACCTGCCTGCCCTGCCTCTAAGATGTTTTAAACCTCCTTTCAGCTCCCACTCCTGCTCCCCAAATTTGATGAGGTATACGCCCGCTCTTACTGCTTCTCAGCCAACTATATCTACCACTTGTTTGTGAATGGTTACAAATTCACAGAGGAGACTTGGCCCCAGATACATTTTGAAAAAGAAGTAAGTCAAAGCACAAATCATTTTCTCTTCTTTTTCCCAACAGAGAGATTTGTATGTATGTGTGTGGAGCAAATGTAGAAGGTAAAAGGGTATTAACGAGTTAAACTCACTGGGTGGAAGCTGATCAGACTGATCCCTTGTGAGTTTCCCAGAAGAGGTCGTGGAGAATTTAGTGGAGTTGCTCATGGGTGTCCATTCTCCTGGAAAAGACTGGAGGCCAAGGGCCAATGGACTAGGAGGTCCTGGAGGGCAGAGACTTGTCTTGGTATCTTCATATTCCCAGCACTCAGCACAAGGGATAGAGCCTAGAAGGTGCTTAGTAAATGTTTGTTGAATTCGTAAATAAATATGAATTCATAAATAAATATGAATTAAGGATATGAGACTTTTCATCCTGAAAAGAAGCTTTAAATGTAACCATTTTTAAAAGAGGATAGCAACTAATTCTTCTCCATTTTATGCAGATGTCGGAGTAAGATACAGGCCTTAGAGCCTGACGGATTTGCATTAGCATTAAATAAACATTTTCTCTTTGAATGAACCTGAAGTCATTACATTCACTGACAAAGATTTGGGGGATGGAGAAGATATTCTTAGCTCAGGGTTTAATATATCTAAAAATATGTATATTTATAGATATCTATAAATACATACATATATATATATGATGGTCAAGTGACCAGAATGGTCCAAAGCTGGAATCACAGCTGTCACCTGGTGACAGGTGAAAGGACCTCCATACCTTGTTTCAGGCAGGGCTCAGCCTTGCAAATATGTTCAGCCAGCACTATGTTCCCCAGGTTCCAGAGAATTTTCTCATTTCAGGAATAGCTGATATGAAGCCTGAAGGATGTCTGGAGTCAGCCTGTTCAATACCAGCTTCAGCAATAATTAGATTAAATCAATCAATATCCTGTATTAGGCCTCTGACTCTCTACTTTTACATAAATAAAATTGAGTCATCTACAAAAAAATAAGGATGTCTGGAGACACAAGGACTGTTGGTAGCATGTACTCTCTAAGCTTTGCTTCTAATGAATCTAATTACCAGTAAAGTATATTATAAGAATTGAGAATGACTTTCCATTTGAATGCCAGTTTGAGTTGATATAGTATCTAAGTTAAAAGTTCCTTTTTTCTAATTATAAAGAATGTTATGTCCAGCCAAATTAGTAATTAAATGTGAAGATGTAGGCTGGGTGCAGTGGCTCACACCTGTAATCCCAGCACTTTGGGAGGCCGAGGCAGGTGGATCACCTGAGGTCGGTAGTTCGAGACCAGCCTGACCAACAAGGAGAAACACTGTCTCTACTAAAAATACGAAATTCGCCGGGCATGATGGTGCATGCGTGTAATCCCAGCTACTCAGGAGGCTGAGGCAGGAGAATCACCATAACCTGGGAGGTGGAGGTTGCCATGAGCCGAGATCATGCCATTGCACTCCAGCCTGGGCAACAAGAGCAAAACTCCATCTCTAAATAAATAAATAAAAATAAAAATGTTAAGGTGTAAAAAGACTTAAGAAGATTTGCTGCACAAAGACTTACATTGAAAATATTTTTGATGGAAGTAATAAAATAAGAAGAGAAATAAATCCAGGACATGTTACAAAAATACTGGAAGTAAGAATAAATGATGTTGTGGCTTAAAATTTACATTAAAAAGGCCAGGTGCTGTGGCTCACACCTGTAATTCCAGCACTCTGGGAGGCTGAGGCAGATGGATCACCTGAGGTCAGGAGTTCAAGACCAGCCTGGCCAACATGGTAAAACCATGTCTCTACTAAAAATACAAAATATTAACTGGGTGTGGTGGCATGCGCCTTTACTCCCAGCCACTCAGGAGGCTGAGGCAGGAGAATCACTTGAAACTGGGAGGTGGAGGTTGCAGTAAGCCGAGATCTCACCATTTCACTCCAGCCTGGGCAACAGAACAAGACTCCGTCTCAAAAAAAAAAAAAAAAAAAAAAAAAAAAAGATGTTAAAAAAACAGAAAACAAACACTAAAGAAAACTACAAAAATAAACGCCATTCATATGACTCAAGTATAGAAAATACCCAACATGATAAGGGTGTGGTAAGGAGTTATAAGATACAGGGACATAAGAGTAACCTAAAATTCAAATTCTCTTCTTGTCAAAGGGAACACAGAGATATCTTTTTCTTTTTCTTTCTTTTTTTTTTTTTTTTTTTTTTTTTTGAGAAGGAGTCTCGCTCTGTCACCTAGGCTGGAGTGCAATGGCGTGATCTCAGCTCACTGCAGCCTCTGCCTCTTGGGCTCAAGCAATTCTCCTGCCTCAGCCTCCTGAGTAACTGGGATTACAGGCACCCACCATCATGCCTGGCTAATTTTTGTATTTTTATAGAGACAGGGTTTCACCACGTTGGCCAGGCTGGTCTTGAACTCCTGACCTCAGGTGATCCGCCTGCCTCAGCCTCCCAGAGTGCTGGGATTATAGGCGTGAGCCACCATGCCTGGCCACAGATATCATTTTTAAGGCAGGAAAGAAGAAAAAAATATATATATATATATAAAAGCACTAATTGAAAATTTAAAAGTAAGATATTAGAAAGAAGTGTAAATATATTAATAATCACAATAATTATAAATGGACTAAACCTACCAGTTAAAAGACAGATGTCAGATTGAATTTTTAGAAATCAAGCAGGTGCCATTTATAAGAGAAACGTGATTCAAGCATAAAGACATGGAAAGATTGAAAGATAACTTTTTTAAATTATCAAACACTACCCAAAAGAAAGCTGGTGTAACTATTTAATATCTGGCAAAGCTGTCTTTAAGACAAAGAGCCTCATTCTAGACAGCAAGGGTTACAACATAATGATAAAATGTTCAATTCACTATGAAGATTGTAAAGGTGAAACATTTATACACCTAATAAAACACCCTAAAAACATGTAAAGCAAAAATGGATAGAACAACCAGAAGAAATTGACAGTCAGCTTCCCATTTGGGCTGATTTCCTATTCTTAGAAACTGGTCCTGGGATCAGCAAACCACTCATTAGCCTCTTTCTCTAGCCACAAACACTCTTGTGCTCCTGGACAACAGGAACACTTTCACTATTATTAACTGTGCCTTCTTCATTCTTGGCTATGACAAGATTGTGAGGATTTGTTCTTTTGACTATTTCTTCTGCAGTGCTGGAGGTGTGATTCCCCAAGTCTTTGTGGCTACAGTGTGGTGTCTTAACTTGGGCAAGTCCTTTGACCTCTTTGGGCCACAATTTCCCTTGGGAGCTTTGTGAGGTTGATAGTGGTATGCCTCTGGTATGTAATTGTAGCCTTGAGCCTTGTCCTCTACTCCACAGGTGGGGAATAGCAGCATAGCCTGGTCTCTTGGCTACATGCTCAGCCTGACCAACCAGATACCAGCTGAAAGCCCTCTGATCCGTCTGCCCATAGAACCACCTGTCTTTGTGGGCACCCTTGCTTTCTTCACAGCGGCAGCCTTGCTGTGTCTGGCATTTCTTGCGTACCTGTGTTCAGCATCCAGAAAAAAGAGGCACTCCGAGCATGCCTTTGACCAGGCAGTGGATTCAGACTGAGCCTTCAAAGCAGCTCCTGGAGTCCAGTGGCTGCTTAGAGTCAGCCTGGGTGGCACCAGGCAACACAGGTAAAGTGGCTGCCTTCAGGAAATACAACTAACTAAAATCAAACACCTAGGTCACGTGCCTCTCAAATACTGATTTCTGCCACAGTAGCTCTTGGGGCGTCCCTTGGCTATTCTGTGCATATTGCTCTTCAGAGACCTCACTACCCATGTGCTGATCTATTGGGGAACAGAGAAGAGACAGGCCACCAAGATCAGGCTCTTTATTTTAAGTCCCCCAGAGGAAGAGTAAGTTGAGAGGGTATCAGCTTAATGTTGAAGAATTGACCTCAGGGCTCAGTTTCTATTTCCCTCCCTCAGTATTCTTCCTGGCAGGATACCCATTAAGCATTTGGCCCAATCAGATATCTCATTTTATAGTTTTTTTTCCCCATTGGTCTTTAACTAAGACTTTCTTGTAGCAATCTCATAAGCAGTGAACCCCTCAGATCAGTAGAATATAGTATCTGGGGGAGAAGACTTATTTCCCTCAGGGCAGTGGCCACAGCCAGGCTTCTGTCATATAGGTGGATCCCGAAGCACAGAAACATAAAAACGGTCTCCCAGAAAACTATAGACCATTCTCCAAGTGGAATTCCCACTTAGGGCTCTGGTCACTAGATTGCAACCTTTGTGTTTGTCATCATCCTCATCTCACCACTGTATTGCTATGCCCTCCCATAAAAACACATTTATCTCTAGCAAGATTGTTGCATTCCAGATTTTACTGCCTTTGCTAGGCTTTTGTTTAGCAAAGGGCTGCCTTTCCATTGTTTTCATGGTGTATATATTTTTGTCACCATTCCCACAGTATACTTGATGTTGTCATAGAACATCCTACTTTATGATTTACTAGCCAATTACTTTCCTAGATCATAGACCTCTCTGCATAGTAGTCATAGGTCTTGACTTTGGGGAAAGAAAAGGAAGCTGCAGGAATATTTATCTCCAAAGTTGAATGAGAAAGAACTCCAGCAAATCCAATGGCTACAAAGTAAAAATCAGCATTATTTCATATTGCTGTTTCTTAGCTGAATATGGAATAAAGAACTATTATTTTATTTTGACTTGCAGTGGGTGTGTGTGTGTTAACTTACATATGGTAGTCTTCCTCCTAAGGACTCTAGGTGATATTTATGAGAGAAAATGTTTTCCCTAGTGAATTAAGAAACCCATTCATTAATATCACCTTTATTCCAGAGAGTTCAAAGTGCTTTTACTTCGATAAACCTTTGACCGCTTGAGATTATTGAGTCAAGCATTTCTGTACCTTATTTGAAATTCTAAGCCTCTGTGAGGCCACAACCTGACACTCAAATCTTATTTCTCATCCAGAATGGCTACTCCTATCCCAAACTGTACCTTTGCTCACATCATCCTCCCATCCTCCCACCAATACATGATTGAGAAGCAATCATGTATATTTCTCAAGATCCAGTTCCTTCCTGTAAGTCTTCCACAAAGCTTTCCTTGCATACACATACTATGCTGTATCTCCTGGACCACTTTTTCAAAACCAGCCACATAAGTCCTCATATTGTCATTTATCTTGGTGTATGTGTACAGCTTATTTCTAAAAGAGACAGTAGGCTTCTTAAGGGCAAAGCCTATTGTGCATCACTCCTCATTCATTCAACAGACATCTAAAAACACCTATTATGGCTGATGCCTTTTAGGTGTGATCTTGGATTTGGACATATGATATGAACATAGTATTTATTCATATTTGTTGATTGAGGTTGTTTCCATGAGTGACTAAGAATGGGCAATAAACCATAGAGATAGCAGGGAAAAAACAGCATCCAAATCACCAAGAGTTTGCAAGAAAAAAAAACTTGTCTGTGCAAGAAAGAGAGTAAAAGCTCCAAGAAGGCAAGTCCTAGTCAACATTTCTAACTCATTTAGGAAGTTAGAATAAGCTGAGGTACTTTAGGTTTTCTGACACACACCGAAGAATTTTTGACTGGGTGTAGTAGCTCACACCTGTAATCTCAGCCTTTTGGGAGTAGCTGAGGCAGGCAGGATTGTTTGAGCCCAGGAGTTCGAGAGCAGCCTGGGAAACGTGGCAAAACCTCTTCTCTCCAAAAATTACAAAAATTAGCCAGAAGCTGTGGGCACACTTGGAGTTCCAGCTACTTGGTAGGTTGAGGTAGGAAGAGTGCTTGAGCCTGGGAGGTGGAGGTTGCAGTGAGCCGAGATCATGCCACTGCACTCTAGCCTGGGTAACAGAGCAAGACTGCAAGACTCTCTCTCTCTCTCTGATTCTCTCTCTCTCTCTCTCTCTCTCTCACACACACACACACACACACACACACACACACACACAAGAATTTTTATAGATAGACCATTGTGAAATCCGTAGTTCAAGTAGCATATCTAGCACTGTTACTGTGGTGAACAGAATTCTCCTTCGCCCTCTGGTGTTACTCCAATTATGTGGTTACATTGTCACATGGCAAAAGGGTTTTGCAGATGTAATTACAAATCAGTTGACCTTAAAATGGAGAGCTTATCCAGGTAGGCCTAACCTCACCACATGAGCTCTTTAAAGGCAGAGCATTTTCTCCAGAAGAAGAAGTCAGAGATTCAAAGCATGAGAAGAATTCCACGTGCAGTTGCCAGCTTGAGGATGGAGGGCGTCATGTGCAAAGGCCCGAAGTGCAGCCTCTAGAAACTAAGAGCAATCCCTGGCTGGCATCAGCAAAAAATCAGAGACCTCAGTCCTGCAGCTGCAAGGAGCTGGATTCTGCCAACAACCTGAATGAACTTGGAAGCATATTTTCACCCAGAGCCTTCAGATAAGAGTCCAGGTCAGATCATATCTTGATTTCAGCCTACTGAGACCCTAAGTGGAGAACCCAGTTGAGCCCACCGTGACTTCTGACCTACAAAACTATAAAGTAACAAAAAGATGATGTTTAAAGCCACTAAATTTGTGGTAATTTGTTACACAGTCACAGTGAACTAATACAACTATGGAACCCCAAACCCCAAAGCTCCAACCAAAGCGAGTCTTTTGATGTGAAATATGTGGTGAAGATAAAAGTGATGAGTATCACAAATGGTGTCTATTCCTAACTACAACTATGTAAAAAAAAGCATGGGTTCAGAGGTAAAAGTACATGCCAGCATTACCCAGCCACTGAGTGCTTTGGGGGATAGGGATTGGGGCTTGAGCTTTGGGCCTGGACGAGTCTAAAACCCACTGCATAACTTTTCCTTTCACACAGAAAGGCAGTATCATATAGTAGTTAGGAATCTGGCTTTAGATTTCTGTGGTCTAACATACCCATTCACATACAGACACCTGATTTATAACAGAGGTGTCACATCAGAGCAGTGGGAAAATGCAAGACAGTTGGATATCTTAATGGAGAAAAAATGAATTTGACCCTTTCCTCACTCCACTTGCAAGAATTGTTTCCAGGTAGCTTAAAGACCTAAGTGTGAAAAACCTATAAAGGTTTAGAAGAAAATGTAGGAGAACAGTTTTAGGATCCTGGGTAAGGGAAGGGTTTCTTAAACACTACACAAAAAGCATTAACCATAAGAAAATACTTAATACATTAAAATGTAAAACTTCTGTTCCTCAAAAAACATCATTAAAAGAGTGAAAAGACAAGCCACAGAGTGGAAGAAGGTATTCACAACACATATAACTGATAAAAGACTACTTTCCAAATTATATGAAGAACACCTACAAATCAGTAAGAAAAAGGAAGATGATTTAATTTTTCTAAACAGGCAATAATCTTGAAAATACACTTTTCAAAAGGAGACATCTAAATGTCCAATAAACATATGAAAAGATGCGCAATCTCATTATTGGGACAATGCAAATTCAAACTACAGAGAAATAGTACAACATGCTTGTTCGTTTGGCAAAACTTAAAAGTCTGACAATACCAAGTGTTAGTGAGGATGTGGAACTAGAACTCTCCTATACTGCTGTGGGACTGTAAATTAATGCAACCACTCTGGAAAACTGAGGTATTATCTAATAAAGGTGAAGATATGCACATAAAATGACCTGGAAATTCCAGTCCAAAGTATATACCTTAGTGATATATAGTCTTAGATATACCAGGACACATGCCTAAGAATGTTTTAAGCAGCAACCAAGATGCCTATCCCACGGAATAAATGAATAAATAAATAGCAATATAGCCATACGAGAAAATACTGTACATCAATGAAAACAAAAGAACTACATAGTAAAAAGGTTTTTTTTTTGTTTGTCTTTTGTTTTGTTTTTGTTTTTGTTTTTGTTTTGAGATGGAGTCTCCCTCTGTCACCCAGGGTGGAGTGCAGTGGCTCGATCTTGGCTCACTGTAAACTTCACCTCCTGGGTTGAAGTGAGTCTCCTGCCTCAGCCTCCTGGGATTACAGGCACCTGCCACCATGCCCAGCTAATTTTTGTATTTTTAGTAGAGACAGGGTTTCACCATGTTGGCCAGGCTGGTCTCGAACTTCTGATCTTGTGATCCGCCCACCTCGTCCTCCCAAAGTGCTGGGATTACAGGCATGAGTCATTGCATCTGGCCTAATACAAGGTTTAAAAACAGGCAAAACTGTTTAGTAAACGTTTAGGTAAACGCTAAAGAAAAGCAAGGAAATTATTACTCTGAAATTTGGGAGAAAATGGAGGCTGTGTCTGGAAAAGGATAAATGGGTGTCTTAGGCTGCTTGAACTGCCATAATAAAATACTATAAATTGAGTGGCTTAAACAACAGAAATTAATCTTCTCAGAGTTTTGGAGCCTCGGAATTCCAACATCAAGGCATCAGCTGACTAATTCCTGGTGAGGGCTCAATTCCTGGCTTGCAGATGGCGGCCGTTATGCTGTGTCCACATGGCCTTTCCTCTGAGCTCACAGGGAGAGCGAGAGCGAGAGCGAGAGCGAGAGAGCGAGCGCATTCTGGGATATCTTGAGGGCCACTCCTTCATAATCTTGTCTAACCCTAGTTATCTCCCCTCCCAAAGGCTCTATCTCCAAATCCTATATTGGGGCGTTAGGGCTTCAACATATAAATTTGGGGGATCACAAATATTCAGTTCATAACAACAGGGCTTCTGGGATGACAGTGTTATTCTACAACTAGGTAGTGGCTACAGATGTTCTCTTTTTCAACCATTTATACATTATCTGTATGTCCTATACTACGATATAAAGTCACAGATCTGGGTTAACTCAAGAATTTTCTCCTTATTACCTCTACGGTTTTCATCATGTCTTTCAGTCTCCTTGAATCTTGACTTCCTCATATATAAAACGGGCATAATACCTACCTCATGGGATAGTTAAGAGAAAATACAGCACTTAGCCAGTGCCTGGCATGGATATAGCCAATAAATACAAGTTTTAAAACATATTTCTTTCACCCATTTACTTGTTCATTATTCACTCATCACACTTTCACCAAAAGTCTACTGTGTGACAAGCCATGAGTTAAATGACTAAGGGTGTAATAGAAATGAGACAACTGTCTTTTCTCTTGAAACATGAGACTTGAATGCCCTCTGTTGGAACTATGGAAAAAATTCTTCCCAGCTTGAGCCTCCTGCCCTTTTTTTTTTAACCTCTCTAAAGGTATTAGAAAAAAAAATCATTAGTTCAAAAATATTTTTAATAGTATAAAATAAGGAGATAATTGGAAATCTGAACATGGAATATTATCAAGGAATTCCTGTTAATTTTTGTTTAGGTAAAATAATGGAATCGGCCGGCCGCCGTGGCTCTTGCCTGTAATCTCAGTACTTTGAAAGGCCAAGGCGGATGGATTACTTGAGGTCAGGAGTTCAAGACCAGCCTGGCCAACTTAGTGAAACCCCGTCTCTACCAAAAAATACAAAAATTAGCCAGGTGTGGTGGTGTGCGCCTGTAATCCCAGCTGCTCAGGAGGCTGAGGCAAGAGAATCACTTGAACTTGGGCAGTGGAGGTTGTAGTGAGCAGAGATCATGCCACTGCACTCCAGCCTGAGCGGAAGAGCGACACTCTGTCTCAAAATAAGTAAATAAATAAAAAAAAAATAATAATAGTATCATGAATTTTTTTTTCAAGAACCCTTGCT